GTGGGCTGGGCCTGGGGGCGCCCAAGCTGGCTCCTGACAACCTGCCTATCACAGGGGCCCAGGTGCGCATGGTGGACATGCAGAAGCTGACCCATGGCGTCCTGCACACCAAGTTCTGGGTGGTGGACCAGACCCATTTCTACATCGGCAGTGCCAACATGGACTGGCGCTCCCTGACCCAGGTCTGCCTAGACCCTGCCCTCACACCCTTCATGGCTGCTCCCTGCTCCAGAGGGTGCCCAGCCTCCACCTGTACCCCTCTTCAGTTCCAGAGTCTTCTCTGTCCAGTCTGCAGTGGCTTCCTTCCTATCTCCTAGCAGGCCTTCCTAAATCCAGGCACATCCAAATCCAGCTCTCCCTGCCTTCTGCCTGCTTGTGGAAGCCTAGGGTCTGCTCTGATCCCCAGTGACAGCTCCCAGCTCCTCTGAAGGACATCCAAAGCCCTGTCCACCGATTTGCCCTTCATTATTCAGTTCCCTGAGTGCCTGCTCTAAGCCCAGGACTGTCCCAGGTGATGCTGGGAACATGGCGATGGACCTCCTGGAACTGCCAGTCCAGTGCGGTGACAGGCTGGTCACCAGGCAGTGGCAGCCCAGAGGGTCAGGGCCAGGAGGGGGGACCCAGTCTGGAGTATCAGGAAAGGTCTTCCAAAGGAGGTGACAACTAATATGCTACCTATAGGATCTGCCAAGATTAACATAAGGCAGGAAAGAAGATATGGTTTAGGCAGTGATCATTTATTATTGATCACTCAACAAATATTTCCTGAGCCCTTAATCTTACCGATCCTTGTGAGGAGATGCTGAAGACACAGCCACAGCTGAGACCTCCCCAGTGCCAGTCTTCCCAGTCCGGTGTCACCAGAAAGAGAAATGAGGGAAAACCAAGGGACCATGAAAGCCCAGAAGAATTGCCTGACATAGTCTGGGCAGTCAAGAGAGATTTCCTGGAGGAGGAGGCTCTCAGCTGAGACCTAAGAATGAGTAGGAGCTTGTCCTGTAGAGGGTAGAAGCAACAGCATATGTGAAGGTTCAGGAAACCTCACATTTGAAATAACCAAATTATTTGTACCAAAATTTTAAAAGATTGTAGCCTAGAGTCAAGGTCATGCTGGGACTTCTGTTGCGGGGTGGGGGGAGGTGGGGGGACTGAGATGCAGATAAATGGGGAGATTGAGGGGCAAGGGGCAGAAAGTGGGGAAGGGGGCTCATGTCATCTGTGAGCACCAGGCCACCACCCCCAGGCTGAGCACTGCCCTCCCACAGGTCAAGGAGCTGGGGGTGGTCATGTATAACTGCAGCTGCCTAGCTCGGGACCTGACCAAGATCTTTGAGGCCTATTGGTACCTGGGCCAGGCGGGCAGCTCCATCCCGTCAACCTGGCCCCGACCTTATGACACTCGCTATAATCAAGAGACACCAATGGAGATCTGCCTCAATGGAACCCCTGCTCTGGCCTACCTGGCGGTGAGTCTTAGGGAAGAGGGACCCGGTCACTCACAGTCTCTGTCTAGCCCTGCCCGATGTGGTGGGAGGGGAGTCCTGACCACTCACTCATACTCATTCTGCTGGGGCCGGGGTCGGGGCTATGTCCCAGCCTCCGTAGGTCTCGGTTTCCTCTTGAAAACAGCTACCATAATTATCTGCGACCTTTCAGGCTAATGGGTTCATGCATGCTGAGCCCCTGGGGTAGCTCTGCGCTGCCCAGGATGGCTGCATGTGGCTCTTTTCATTTAAGTCAGCTAAAATTAAATATTGCTAAAAGTTCAGTACCTGAATTGCACCAGCCCGCATTTCAAAGGCTTAGTAGGTTCATGTAGCAAACGGCGGCGGTGTTGAACATTGTAGAAAATGAACAGTCACATCACCGTGGAAAGGTCTCTTGGCCAGTGCCCGCTGTGCCCATGGCAGATATTGAGTACTGTATACAAGGCACTGCTGGTTTCAGCTCTTGATATTTCCTCCGGTTGGGGTGGCCAATCTAAATCCCCTTCCGTCCCCGTAACCCCACCGAGCAAGTCACCTGGCCAAGGCCAGAGTCATTGTGGAGGGCCACGGAAATGCATGGATGTAGGGACATGTCATTCACTGGGGTCCTTTGCTCTAGCGGTCTCACACAGAAGATTAAGGGTTCCCCCATCACCACTTCCCTTTCGGAGCTTGAATTTGCTCATCTGTCATGAGGCTGGAGGGAAGTGGGTAAAGGGCATGGTGTCATATGGCACATATGCAGGGTGAACCTGATGGGCTATGAGCAAGTCAGGGACACACATGATGACAGGAGAGGTCCTTAAACCAGAGCATGTATCAGAAACACAGGGAGGGCTGGTTAAAACCCAGATCCCCTGGGGCGCCTGGGTGGCTCAGGTCATAATCCCAGGGTCCTGAGATCAAGTCCCACATCGGGCTCCCCACAGGGAGCCTGCTTCTCCCTCTGGCTGTGTCTCTGCCTCTCTCTGTGTGTGTTTCTCATCAAGGTGAATAAAATCTTAAAAAAAAAAAACAGATCTCTGAGCCCCACCCCAGCACCTGTTCAGTTTGCCATGTGCAGTGAAGCCCAAGAATTTGCAGTTCTAACAAGTTCCAGCTGATGCTATTGCTGCTGGAGCAGGACCCTTATGTCAAGAATCCCTGCATTAAAGCGTAAATTCTGGAACCAAAAAGCCTAGGTTCAAATCTTGGCCCCATTTGTCAGCTGTGTGACTTTAGGCAAGTCACCTACCCTCTCTGAGCCTCAGCTTCCTCATCTCTAAAATGGACATGACAATTATCCGCCGCCTTCACGGAGGCTGAGGATTTCAATGCAACCCACGGGACCTGGCTTGAGACAAGCTGTACCCAGGGTCCACTGTGATGGCACCCTTTGCATGGCATGTGTCTTGACTGTCCCCATCACCCCCAGAGTGCACCCCCACCACTGTGTCCCAGTGGCCGCACACCAGATCTGAAGGCCCTGCTCAACGTGGTGGACAATGCCCGGAGTTTCATCTACGTCGCGGTCATGAACTACCTGCCCACCATGGAGTTCTCTCACCCTCACAGGTACGGCCGCCCCACGGGCTTGGGGCAGGGACCTGCCTCAAGCTGAAGAGGCAGTGGGAGAGGGAATGATGAGGCCAGAATGCAGGCAGGGGGACCAAGGCAAAGGGAAGCCACAGGGAGAGGCAGAGGAGACCAGAGGAAGTGGGGACAGAAAAGGATGAGAATCGTGGGGTTGGGGGCAGGGCAGGGAGTGCGGGGGTGTGGGATATCCGAGTTAGGGAGCAGAGAGAATGGGCTGGAGACAGGATGAGGGGCTCGGGGGCAGGAATGGGAGCTGGAAGCGGGATAGGGCATGTGGGATATGAGGAGGCAGGAACAGGACTGTGAGCTAGAGACAGGGTGGTCTTGGGGTTTAAGGGCACTTAGCAGCTAGAGCAGCCTCCCTGCAGCTCAGGGTAAGGCCACAGGTAAGGCTGCCCTCCGAATCCTGCACCCCCGTCCCCAAGGTTCTGGCCTGCCATTGACGATGGGCTCCGGCGGGCTGCCTACGAGCGGGGCGTCAAGGTGCGCCTGCTGATCAGCTGCTGGGGCCACTCGGAGCCGTCTATGCGGGCCTTCCTGCTGTCCCTGGCTGCCCTGCGTGACAACCACACCCACTCCGATATCCAGGTGGTAAGCACCCACTGCACACCCAGTCCTCAGCCCTTGTGCAGGGCAATGCCGAAGGCATAGGCCTCGTGGAGCTCACCTGTCACCTGACAGGCCTGACCCAGAGGGACAGGGCTGTGCCATGATGGGGAGACCGTGAGTCGGGCCAGAATGGTGGGGCCCAGGGAGGAGGCATCATGGCCATGAAAGTGGGGCCTGGAGGAAGCATCTGCCTTAGCCTGGTCCAGCATGAGGGTGATCCAGGAGGCCTTTCAGGAATAGGGGATGTCTGAGTTGAGACCGAAGGGACACATAGACATTCTAGAATGAAGGACAAAGGAGGCAACAGGGTCTTCTCTTTTAGCCGGGGTTACTGATTCCCACTCTGCCGGGCCCTGCTCTGGCTCTGGTAGTTCCATGGGAAGCAGCCGGGTCCCCAGTCCTGCAGACCTGATTCCTCCCCCGCCCCAGACCCGGGGGCCTCTCCAGCCCTACCTGGATCTCACGCTCCTTCCTGTCCTCCCCTGTCCTCCCCACCCCCTCAGAAACTCTTCGTGGTCCCTGCGGACGAGGCCCAGGCCCGAATCCCATACGCCCGCGTCAACCACAACAAGTACATGGTGACCGAACGTGCCACCTACATCGGTGAGTGTCCTGAGTGCCGCCGCGGGGGCAGAAGGGGGCTCCAGGCACAGCTGTGGGCTCTGACTCTCTGACCCCACCCCTCAGGAACCTCCAACTGGTCTGGCAGCTACTTCACGGAGACGGCAGGCACCTCGCTGCTGGTGACACAGAACGGGCGGGGTGGCCTGAGGAGCCAGCTGGAGGCTGTTTTCCTGAGGGACTGGGACTCCCCTTACAGCCATGACCTTGACACCTCAGCTGACAGCGTGGGCAATGCCTGTCGCCTGCTCTGAGGCCCCAGCCCGGCAGACAGGCCGAGGCCTTCGAGGCCCCCGTGAGGCCCAGAGTCCTGGGTCCCGGCCCCTGTCCCCGTGCCCCCGCTTCTGTGTGCCCCGTTGTGGCTCCACTGGCTCTCCCCTGCTCTCCTGCCTCTACCTCCACCCCTGCCGGCCTGATGCTGTGGCCCCAGGACCCAGCCCAGCTGGGGGTGGGATCAGCCCCCAAAGAAATGGGGGTGCATGCTGGGCCCGGCCCCCTGGCCCACCCCCCTTTCTAGGGCAAAGAGGGCTCAAGGTTACAATAAGAAGTAAATAACTTGTCTGTACAGCCTGTGCCTGACTGAGTGATATGAAGTGGGGCATCGGGGGAGGGGACAGCTGGCATGGTCCTCCCTTGGAGATGCAGCGTTTGCTGAGCCCTCAGCGTGTTACCAGGGTGGTTTGGCGTATCCTGAACCCACAGCATGTGCTGTGCCCTTAACATGGATTTGGCATGTGCTGAGCACGTAGCATGTGACTGCATGTGCTGAGCCCTCAGTGCGGAATGCACAGGAGCCAGGAAGCGCTGAGCATGGAGCACGTGACCACATGGACTGGCGTGAGCTGAGCCTCGTGTAGCCAGCATAGGGTAGTGTGTGCCGTACACTCAGCACGTTCCCAGGTGGGCACACCCTGAACCATCACCATATCCCAAGGGTGGATGCGTGTGTCTGAACACCACAGTGTACACCAAGCATGAATTTATGCCTCCCAAGTGAATCCATGGTTACCATGACCCAAGCATGGGTGAGTGCATGCCAAGCCCGTACGTGTGGCCAGGGCAGGTCAACAGATGAGAACTTGGCGTTTGGCAAGCTTGGATTGGCACGTGATGGACACTTGGGTACGTTCCAAGGGTGGATTCTCGTGTGCCAAGCGCTTAGAATATTTAGGAGACAGGCCGTGCATGCGCACTGGGTGATGGCAGCCCAGCCTCCAACCTGAGCCAGTGGCCCACGGCGCAGTGTCAGACAGCAGGGTCCCGTGCGCCAGCCTGAACCCCACCCCAGCCCCAGTCCGGGCCTCAGGCAGGGCTGCTGAACAGTTCTTTATTGAAATAGGCAGAGGCAGCAGGGCAGAGGGCATACTCAGGGCCAGTGAGGTGCAGCCCCCTTCTTGTGTCCCTTCAGCCTAGGGGCCAAGGGCCAGACCCTAAGGCCCTCCTGTGTTTGGGGTGTGTGTGCTGGCATGCACCGTGGGTGAGGGTAATGGGGAATCTCTGGATAACTATCTTTCTCTAAGAATAATTTGTGGGTTCAGGAAATGGCTTCTGAGGTGGGGATGCCAGCCCAGCTAGCGCAGCCCCCAGTGATGGGCAGGGCTGGGGTCACCATCAGTGGTGTCCACCGACATGCTGCAGAAAGCTGGTAGCCCGGGGTGGACCGTGCGGGTGAACGTGGTGGGCTGGGAGCCCCTGAGCCCGGGGCCCCCTGACACCCTCCAGGGTCCAGTCTGGCTCACTTAGCCATTCCCCAGGGCAGCTGCTGGGGTCGAAGAGCTCAGGGCCTGGCCCCTGTGGAGAAGAAAGGACCATCAGACAAGAAGCCCCCGGACTTGGGAACCACCGGCCTGTCCCTCTTGGCCTCTCTCCAGTCCTAGTTGAACCCTCATAACTTCCTGAGGGCAATTTGTAGGTCCCAACCCCTCATTGCAACTTGGGAGCTCAAAGAGTCTGTGCAGAGACCTTAATGTGTTCTGAGGCTTTATCACTTCTTCCCGAGGGTGAGTGAGCACCTGCGAAGGCCTTGCTCTGAGTGCTGGGCGTTTACCACTTCCTGCAGGTGGATTAATGCATTCTGAGTTTTTATACAGCCTGAAGGTGGATGAGTGTGTGCTGAGCCTTGTCACATAGTAAGAGTAGGTTGGTATGTGCTGAAAGTTATATCCTGAATATTGGTTAGGGTGTACTGAGCCTTATATCCTGAAGTTATTAGTGTGTGCTGAGCCTTATGACTTTGTCGGCGTGGGTTAGTGTGTGCTGAATGTTATATCCTGAGTACAGATCATACCTGGAATGTGGGGTAGTGTTGGCTGAGCCCTGTTACATCCTGAGAGTGGACTGGTATGAGGTGAACCCTGAGCCAGCTGCAGGCAATGCAGATGGGTGGAGGGCAAGGCCTGGTTCACTCTGCCCCTTTCCTGAAGCTCGGGGAGGCCCTGACCCCAGAACCACCGGCACCCTGCCAGCCTACCGGGCTTACATCAGCATCCATGGTCATGTCCTTCATGTCTGGTCCATCCCCATCCCGCTGTGGCAGGGTGGGCGGCTCGGCGGAGGCCCCGAGGCGCTCTCCTTCTGCCCAGCCACTGCCCCGGCATGGCCCATCATCCTCAGGTGAGGCCTGGCTCAGCCGGATGAGGTTGCTGAAGTTGGAGTCGGACTTGGAGCCCGCGGGCGGCTTGCGGGCCTTGTGGCGACCTGCCAGGCGGCTGCCGTAGAAGGCCAGGATGGGCTCCGGGCCGGAGTCGGGCACCCGGCGGACAGCGGTGGCCTTGAGTGGGGCCAGCATGTCGGGAACCACATCGGCTCGGGTCTCGCCCCACAGCCCGCGCCCCACCTCCTGCAGACTCAGGTCATCCAGCTGATCGATGGCCCTCTGCACGCCCGGGGCCTTCTCTTCGCAGAAGGGCCCGCTGCCTGCCGCGCTGCCCAGGCCCACGGGCTCCTCCTCCTCGGCCAGCCGGTAGTAGGGGGGCCCGTCTTCCGCGGCGGCCACCACGGCCGTGGCCGGCTTGCCCTCCACCTGCAGCGAGAGGCGGCAGCCGCGCAGCGAGAGCTGGTAGTAGCGGGTGGTCTCGTGGGCGCTGCGCAGCTGCTGCATGGACACGAAGGGGTGGCGCAGGGCGGCGCTGGGGCTGATGCGCTCGTGCGACTCCCACGTCAGCATGCGCTTGATCAGCTCTACCATGCTCTTGAGGTCCGCGTGCTCCGCCAGCGCCTCGCGGTCCGGGAAGGTCAGCCGACTGGCCGCCCCGCCGCCGTTCACCGTCTCAATCTGGTCCAGTGATTTGAGCATGTACTTGCGGCGCTCCAGTGGGCGCACCTGGTGGGACACGGTGGGTGCGGGGTTGCTGTCGAGTCAACCTCAGGTGCTCCTGAAGGGGGGCCCACGTATGACCCCCACACTCCCCACCTCCACCAGTTTCCAGTCTGCCCTCCAGTCTGGTCCAGAGCTCGCTCGTTGCTATGAAGTCCACACACCTGAACCTCGATTTCCAGTTCTGCCCGTGATCTGACTTGGAGCTCTCTTGCTGCTGGGAGGGCCACACCTACTCCCCGACACCAGAACCCCTCTGGTCTGACCCGGGGCCCTCCTACTGCTGCAGCAAAGATATCAGACTGGGTTCTTTGATCCCCCTGCCATCTCACCCAGAGTCTCACTGAGCCAAGTTTCACTTCTCCACCAGGCCTTCCGAGCTCTCCTGAACCGTGGGTCCAGCCCCTACCAGCCACTAGCAGAGGGGCTGCCCCAAAACTCTAGTCCTCCTTGGAGTCGAGTCCAAATCCAGATCCCCAAGCCCAGCCCCTCCAGGCCTCCCAGCAGTCGGACCTCCTCGCTCCACTAGCTTGCCCACCCCTAGCCATGGAACTCAGAGGAGCCGCCACACACTTGCAGTGCCGTACGGTCTCAGCCACATCTTGCTGTGGCTACCCCCGCGGCTGACCCTCAAACTTCTGGTCCTTTCTGAGGTCTAACATAGATTTTATTTTTTCCCTTGGTGCAGCAGCCCCCACACCGCCTGCCCTCGCCCCACCTGCCCCCCTACCTTGGTCTCGGCCAGGTAGTCGGCCGAGGACTTCAGCTGCCAGGGGTTGCTGGCATCAGGGTGGGGGTTGCGCTTGAAGAAGTGGTAGGCCTTGCGGGCGGCGTGCAGCAGGTGGGGCTTGGGCAAGCCCTGCGTCTCGCAGATGTAGCGCACCTGGTCGTACTCATTGTTGCCCGGGTAGAGGGGCCAGCCCAGGTGCAGCTCAGCCATGACGCAGCCCAGGGACCACACGTCCACCTTCTCACAGAAGGGCAGCCCCAGCAGAATTTCGGGGGCCCGGTAGAAGCGCGACTGAATGTACGGCTCCTTCACGTAGCGCACCTCGCTGAAGATGCTGGCTGAGCCGAAGTCAATCACCTGAGATGGGGCGGAGGGAGGCAGGTGGGCCCAGCAAGGGACGGGGACGACCCATCTAGGCCTCCCCTGTGTGTCTTGCCCGCCCGGGTCTTTCCACATCTGCCATCTAAGTGTCCCTGTGTCTGTGAGTCAATGTCTCTTATTTGTGTCCCTATGTTCACTGGTCTTTGTCTGGTTCGTGTGTCTGTTTCTCCATCTCTTTCCACTAGAACTTGGGCCTGAGAGGGTGGACCCCTCTCCATACCTGTCCATCAGCAAATCTGGTTGGCTCCACCTTCTGAGCAGATCCAGAATCGGCCCACTCTGCATCCCAGCCTCGGCTACCCTGCGCCGCACCGCCTCCCCCGCCTCCCTGACCTGTCCTCCAGCATCACCCACCAAGGCCAGGGTAGGGGCCTCCTCGCTGGTGTCCATGCTCCGCCCCCCTCGCACCCCTCTCTGCTCACCATGCACACCCCACAGGATCCTGTGCACACCCGAGTCAGATCAAGTCCTTCCCCTGCTCAGAATCTCCCCCTGTGGCTTTATCACGTCCTGTGATGAAAGCCAGAGTCCTCACTGTGGCCCCAAGGCTCGAGCCATCTGCGCCATCACCTCTCTGCCTTCAGCGCCTCCCGTTCTCCCTCTCACATGGGTGTCTCACTGTCCCTTGAACAAGCCAGACGCATTCTCAGCTCAGGGCCTTTGCATTGGCCATTCCCTCTGCCTGGAATGCTCTTTCCCCAGATGTGCACACGGCTTCCTCATCTCAGGTCTCAAATGTCACTTTCTTTATAATTGTTTAAAAAGATTTTGTTTTAAAAAAAGATTTTATGTATTTATTGATGAGAGACACAGAGACAGAGGCACAGGCAGAGGGAGAAGCAGGCTCCCTGCCGGGAGCCCGATGCAGGACTTGATCCCAGGACCCCAGGATCACACCCTGAACCATAGTAGATGCTTAACAGCTGCGGCACTCAGGTGCCCCTCAAATCTCACCTTCTCAGTGGGACCTCCCCTGGCCACCCTCTGAAAAACAGCCTCCCTGCCCCCACCGTTCCTATCCCCCTTCCTGGCACCCTGCTTTTCTCCAGAACTCTTAACACCATTTCACATCCTATATCTTTTACCTTTAGGTCTTCATTTTCGCTCTACCCAGCTAGGATGCCAGTCCCCTCAGGGTAGGGATTTTGTTCACTGCTGCATCCCTAGGTGCCTAGAACAGTGCCCAGCACACAGTCAGGGGCTCAGTCAGGAGCGAATGAGTGAATGAATGGGCTTTACGTCCCTGCCTTTCTGGTTCTTTCTGCGTTTTTTGGTGTATCTCTCTCGTTCTTTCTTTGCCTCTTCATTGCTTGCCTGTTCATTGTGTCTCTCACCTCCCCATGTCTCTCTCTGTCTCCATCTCTGTGTCACCTGCTAGGAAGACACCTCCCCGAAGCCCCGCCCTCTTCTGTCCTCCTCATCAGGCACCGTCAACACCCCTCAGAGGCCCTGGGAACAGGACAGGGCCAGCACTGTGGATGGCTGAAAGTCTTTCTCTCCCAATGCCACTGGGAGGCGCCATATGCCATTTTCACTCTAAATCTCCAAGACACTAGCTTGATCCCTGCCTCAGTTTCCCCCTCTGTGTGTCTGCTTTTCGTTCAGCCATCCCTCGACTTCTATTTGCAGAAGGTGGTACGACGGAAGGTTATTAACCCGGATTCTGAGTGCGGACGACTGAGGCCTGAATCTCAGAGCTTGAGGGGCCCCGGACACTCAGTGTTCATGGGATCCATTCACTCATTCATTCCACAAACACAGGAAGGGTGCGGCCCCTGGCCAGGTGGTGTGGATCTGTCCAGTCTGTCTGTCTCCCGCTGCATTTGAGGGAGTCTCTCCTTCCTTGGGGCTGCGTCCTTCCATCTGTTGGGGCAAAATGATCTGCCCTTTCCTGCCTGCACATCTCCCTGTGACTCCGACATTCATTTCTCATTGGCTCCGCCACAGCATTGTGTTGGGAGATGCCGAGGACGCAGTGGTGACCAAAACTGACCTGGCCCTGCCTTCACAGCCCTGCCCCGCTCCTAGTTCAGACCCATCACCAGACAGTAACAAACCCAGAAGTGGACAGAGGGACCAGGTCTGGGATTGGGGGGAACCAGCAGGGGTCCAGGGTGAAGGGGCCAAGTCTGGGATTGAGGGGAGCACAGGGGAGGGGTCCAGGGCAGAGGGGCTGGGGCTGGGATGGGGAGCCCAGGGGCTTATGACATGCATAAGAGGTGCCTCTGTGTGCCCAGCACAGGGTCAGGTCCAGAGCAGGTCTTCAGTCAATGTTTGTTGATGAACAAACTCTGGGACCGAAGAATGGCACTTCCAGTCGCTCGGCCGTCAGGCTCTCATTCCCCAATCAAGTCCTCTCTTATAGCTCACGTAAGATCAGTCAGCAGATCCTGTTGTCAGTAGCTTCAAATCTACCTAGAACCCACCACGTCCCTTCCTCCCACTATCCCAACTCCATCCCCGTACCCAGGCCTTCCACCTGGAGCGGAGCTGCCACCCCTCACTGCACCCCTGCTCCTGCCCTGCACAGGCTGTTGTCCTCATGCAGCCAGAGGGACCCTGTGAACCCCTGATGGAGATCACGGCCCTTCTCTGCTCAGAAACCTCCCGTGGCCCCATCTTACAGAGAATAAAACCAGTCCTCATGGGCACCCGGGTGGCTCAGTGGTTGAGCGTCTGCCTTTGGCTCAGGTTGTGATCCTGGGGTCCTGGGATCAAGTCCCACATCGGGCTCCCCACAGGAAACCTGCTTCTCCCTCTACTAATGTCTCTGCCCCTCTCTCTGTGACTCTCATGAATAAATAAATAAAATCTTAAAAAAAAAAAAAAGTCCTCACTGTGGCCCACAAGGCCCTGTGTGACCTGGCTCCGTCACCTTCCTGATCCCATTTCCTCCCTCTTCTCACTCTGCTTCAGCCACCCCGGCTTCCTGGGTGCTTCTCAAACACATATACTCAGATCACTCCTACCTCAGGGCCTTCGCACTAGCTGTTCCCTCTACCCAGATGTTTTTCCCCGGATGGCTACATGGCAACCTCCTTCTGTTGGGACTTTCCTCAAATGTCACCTTCTCAGTGAGGCCTCCCTGACGGCCGTGTCTACAATTTCACTCACGATCACTGTCACCAAGCAACACCCCACATCCTCCTCCTCCCTACTGATCTTTTCTCCTTCTCACTCACTTATTTGACTCACTTCTCACTCACATACCATATTTATCTTGGTGACTCTGTTTCCCCCCACTAGAATATCAGTCGCACAAAGACAAGACCAGGCCAGAGGAGCTGAACTATGAATTAGACAAGGACTGAGAGGTCTCAGGTCCAGGATAGAGAGGATGTCAGAATCTGGACAGGAGATGGGGAGGATTTTAGGGCCAGGAGGTGGGAAGAGGCATCACAGGCAGGGAAGGGGAGACATCCAGGCTGGGAGGTGGGACAAGGGAGACCTTAGCAACAGGAGAGCGTCCAGGGCTGGGGGGAAGCTGAAAGAAGACAGGGATGAGGGATGCCGCCACCGCAGGGCCGCCCCACTTACCTTGACCCTGAAGGGGCAGCGTGTCTGATCCACCAGCATGATGTTCTCGGGCTTGAGATCAGCATGGATGATCGCCAGCTCCTTGAGCCGGGCCAGGGCTCTGAGCACCTGCAAGGTGACCGTGCGGATGTGGCGGGCAGGGAGGGGGGCGAAGTTGTTCTCCTTCTGGAATTCGAAAAGGTTTTGCTCCAGCAGCTCGAAGACCAAGTAGAACTTGAGGGCGTCGTGGAAGAACTCGAGGAAGCGGATGATGTGGGCCTCCTCCGGATCCAGGCCCCTCATGCAGCGCAGTAGCTTCAGCTCGTTCTTGATGATGCGGTTGCGGTAGGCGTCATTCTTGAGGATCTTGATGGCCACCATCTCGCCCGTGCTTCGCCGCCAGCCCTTGGCCACCTCCCCGAAGGTGCCCTTGCCCAGCACCTCGATGATGTCATAGCAGTCGGTCTCGGACTGGATGGTGGCCATGGTGCCCCTGCCACCAGGAGCTGCCCAGCTGCCACCCCCGCCCCACAGGCTCTGCCTTCGAAGCCTTCCGGCCCGCCACCAGCTCCGAGGCCCCCCCAGCGGGGGAAAGAGAACTGCACTCGTGCCTCCCGCCAAGAGGATCCCCCCCACCTCCCTGGCACCCCCCAACCCCCTGGGCCACACTGCCAGTCTGCCAGGGGCCACACCCCTCCCCCAAAGCCTTCCTGGCTTGGGACGAGGGGCCCTAGGCCCCCCCGAATGGGCTCCAGCGTTGCTGAGTGGCTCTGGTTCTGTTGTCGGAGACCTGAGCCCCAGGCTGGAATGGGGGGTGGGGTGGCAGGTGGAGCCCCCTCCCCCACCCTGTGGTGGAACCCCAGGGGCTGGACAGTTGAAGGGTCGGCTGAGAAGGAAGTCCAATCCTGGACCTCTAGCATGGGGGACTGAGACATTCCTAACCAAAGGTGAAGAGCCAGGAGGATGTGTGTGGTGTGTGGTGTGTGGTGTGTGTGTGTGTGTGTGATTGTTCAGCAAACACCTGCCCCTGACTGTGGCTGCCATGGGAGAGGGAGGCTGAACCAGGGCCAGGTGGTAAAAGGTATTGAATGCCAGGCTAAGGAGACTGGACTCATTTATCTTAGGGTACTGGGGAGCCACATAAGGGCTCTGAGCAAGGGAGGTCAGATTTTTTTCAGATTATTTATTTATGGAACACCTGGATGGCTCGACAGTTGAGCATCTGCCTTAGGCTCAGGGCTTGATCCTGGGCTTCCGGTATCGAGTCCTGCATCAGGCTCCACAGGGAGCCTGCTTGTCGCTCTGCCTATGTCTTTGCCTCTCTCTGTGTGTCTCTTACGAAAAAATAAATAAAAATATCTTATTTTTTAAAGATTTTATTTATTTAATTCATGACAGACAGAGACACAGGCAGAGGGAGAAGCAGACTCCATGCAGGGAGCCTGATGTGGGACTTGATCCCGGGACCCCAGGATCACACTCTGGGCTGAAGGCAGGTGCTAAACTGCTGAACCACCCAGGGATCACCTAGACAGACATGTCTTGAATGCTGTAGAGGCCTTACTATCCTTACATATGTCTTAATAACTCCATTTTATGGGAGAGAAAATAAAGATGCAAAGAAGTTGAAAAAATGCGTAAGGTCACCCAACTGGGTGCCGGAGACAAGCTTTGACCCCAAGCAGTCCAGCTTGAGAGCCAAGCTCTGAACCACTGCCATGTCCAGGGGAGGCATGCATGGGCCACTAGATTCCTATGTTGGCCATAGGGAGGGTGACATGGCCTGGGGAGGGTGTAGGGGTGGATGAGGGCCTGGGAGGAGTCCTGAGAGTCCAAGAGGCATGAGGAGAAAGAGAAGGAGTGGGGAAGAAAGAGAAGAGAGTGTTCAGGAAGGAGGTAGGGACCCTGAGAAGTCAGGACAAGAGAGCCAGAGGGAGCGTTCAGCGTGGCCCCAGAGAGGTCACTATGGATCCTGGCAGGTCAGCTGTGCTGGGAGGGAACCCCCAAATGCTGGAGGCCTGGGCAAAGGGTGTACACCACAGGTATATATAATTCCTGCCGTGTTTGGTGGGAATGAAGAGAAAGCCTGTGACCAGAAGTGACCCCAGGGAGGCTGGGGCGCGAGGGATATTTGGGACTGGACCAAGTGTCTTCCTGGGGGACACAGAGAGACTGAGGGGGGGGGAGTCTGGAGGCCTCGATGGGGGCTTAGATCCTGGGAGCCAAGGCCCCGCCCTGATGGGAGCTGAGGGCCCTGGGACCTAGTCCTAAGGGACAGCCAGGTAACTGTGGTGGAGGCTCTGAACCCAGGAGCCGGGAGAGGGTACCAGGTGGGGCCTTCCTGGGTGGGGCCGGGGCAGACAGGGCAGTCAAACCAGCCAGACTGGAAAGGGATCGCCAGACGTGGAGGAGCTCTGGTCGTCGATGTGAAGGTGGCCAGCAGAGGGCAGATGGGTAGCAGTTGTTCTGCTCTCTTAGGCCCACCCCACCCCCCAGAGAGGTCCTGGTGAGTGGTTCCCCAGAACAAGCAGAGTCCTCAGCAGACGGGTCTAGCTCAGAGGCCCTTGGGAACTCCAAATGGCTAGGGCAGGACCCTTCCCGCCAGCCCACTGCAGATCTTCCCTCTCCTTAGCCTGGGGTGGCCTGATGTCTCCCCCAACACAGGCTCTCCTGAGGCCAGGCTCCAATAGTCCCCTCCTTGGGGACCTCTTTCCCTGTACCCTGTCACCTCCCCGCTGCCCTGTCCCCCCCCCACCCCCCACAAAGGATACAGAACACGAGGCTATCTCGGGATTACTTTATTCACATGGCTTGGCAAGATACAGGTACTCCTGCCAATGAGCCGGGCACGAGGCCCCCCGCCCTGTCCCAACAGTCACCCACCTCCCGGCCCTCTGAGGGTTAGTGCTAGTTATCTCACACACAAAACAAGGAGGAGGTGGGAACGGGAGGAGGGGAGGGGACTCTCCCTCTGCCCTGCGGCTTCAGACCACTGCAGCCTGAGCCCCCTCCATCCTGGCAGGGCCCGGAGCCCCTGTCTCCGAAAACCCCACACTAGGCAGCCGGACCCGGAATCCACCCTCTTCGTGGTCCCCGCTCCCACTCCGGGCCTTGGGGCTTAGGGACACCCGGGGGAAACGGAACTTGGGTGACTTCTCCCCGCCGGGGGACTTGGGGGCTGCCTCGCCCTCCTGTCCCCGAGAGGCCTTGGACGGGGTAGCCAGGCCCACGCGGGGCAAGCGGACTCGGACTCTGCCTCGGCGCCCAGAGGCCCCCTCCCCGCCACCCTCCTCCTCGTCCTCCTCGGGGCTGGGGGAGCCTTCCCCAGTGACCGCCTCGCTCTGGCTGAAGCCCACTCGGGGCAGCCTGAGTTTGGGGCTCTTGGTCTTCTCACCCTCCTCAATGCCCTCCTTGGCCCGAGCCAGGCCAAACCGGGGCAGCCTCACCTTGAGCTTGTGTCCCGCCTCCCCGTCACCCTCTGCCACCTGGTACTCAGCGTGGCTGCCCACGGCGGGCGGTGAGAGCTCCACATCCGGCAGGGAGAGGTGGAAGGTGCGCTCGGCCCCCGGGGATTGCTCTCCGGGCCCCTCTTCTCCGGCCTCAGCTCTGGCCCCCAGTGTGGGCATCTTCAGCCTCAAGCCACCGTCACCTGTGGCCGCCTCACCCACCTGCGCCTCTCGGCCCAGCCCCACGTCCAACTCAAGCTGAGGCACTGTCACGGCGGGCATCTTGAAGACGCCCTCACCTACCAACAGCTCCCCACCTGCCACCTGGGCTCCAGGCAGAGACAAGGTCACCTGGGGCACCTGGACCCTGTAGCCTGCTGTGCCCTCTGCTGAAGGGGCCGCGCCCTTGACCTGCTGCCCCGGGGTGGCGCCTGAGCCGGCCTCCCCGAAGCTGGCCAGCTCCACCTGGGGCAAGGAGATGCCCAGGGGCATCCTCAGCGCCCCCTCCTGGCCCTCGGCGCCTGCCAGTCTGGTCGTGGACACTTGCGGGCCTGACAGCCGAACTCCACCGACACCCACTGCCCCCTCGGCCCTGCCTTCCTCCTGGGCCCCCAGGGTGACCAGCTCCACCTCGGGGATCTTAAGCGGCCCTGCCGTGGGCTCTGGCTTTTCTCCCGGGCTGACGCGCCCACCCTGGACTTCCACTTCCTTCCCCCGAGCCAGCCCGAAGGAGGGCATCTTCAGCTTAGGCATCTTCACCTTCCCATCCCAACCCCAGCCCTTGGCCTCCAACTCGCCCACCCCTGGCGCTAGTTCTCCCGCCTCAGCGTCCCGGCCTCTGACCCCAAACTTGGGCAGGGCAAACCTGGGCCCCTTGACCTTGACATCAGCCCCTGCCACCTCCACCTTGCTTGTGGGCAGATGGGCATCCAGGCCGAGCTCCGGGATGGACAGATCGAGGGCGGGCAGCAGGCCTGCCGCCTCTCCTGCCCCTTTGGCCTCGGCTTCAGTCCCCGCTCGGGCCTTGGGGAGTGAGATGGTGAACTTGGACACCTTCGGCTTGGTGGCCCGCCCGGGCGCCTCGGCCTCGGCCTTGGCCACTTTGGGCCCTGAGAGTCCAAACTTGGGCAGGGAGAACTTGGAGGAGGGCTTGACTTTCATCTCCATCTCCTCTAGCCGCCCCTCCACCTCCACCTCCCCCGAGGGCAGCTGCGGAGGGGCGATTTCAACCGAGGGCATCCGAAAGGCCGCCTCCCCGACCCCCGCGGCTCCCCCAGGGCCCTCTGGCCGCTCCACCTTGCCCACGGCGGCTGCTGGGACCTGCGCCTCCGGGCTGAGGACCCTTGGCAGGTCTAGCTCCACGGAGGGCAGTGTGAGAGAGGGGACACCCGCTCGAGCCTCGGGGCCCACTTCCGGCTGCAGACAGGGAAGCGTGAGCAGCTTCCCAGAGACCTCAGCCCCTGCCTCACCCGGCTTGCCTCGTGATGGGGACTCTGCCCTCCCTAGCTTGGGCATGGTCATCTTGGGCAGCTTGAAGCCAAATTCCACCCTCTCTGCCTGTTCCCCTTTGAGCTGCACCTCCGGGGCCTTGGGCAGCTTCACCTCTGGGACCTTTGGCAGATGCACCTCTGGGGCCTTTGGCACCTGCATTTCCGGCAGCCTCATCTCCGACACCTTTGGCAGCTGCACCTCCGGGAGGTGGACATCAGGCACGGCCATCTCAGGCACCTTGGGGAGCTTTATCTCGGGGAGTTTCATCTCGGGGACTTTCATCTCTGAGACCTTTGGCAACTGTACCTCGGGGAGCCGCACCTCGGGCACAGCCATCTCGGGCATCTTCGGGAGCTTCACCTCGGGGAGCTTCATCTCGGGGACTTTGGGGAGCTGTACTTCTGGGAGATGCACCTCGGGCACGGCCATCTCGGGCACTTTCGGGAGCTTCATCTCAGGCACCTTCGGGAGCTTCATCTCGGGGAGCTTCATCTCTGGAACTTTGGGGAGCTGTACTTCTGGGAGCTGAACCTCGGGCACAGCCATCTCGAGTACCTTCGGGAGCTTCATCTCAGGGAGCTTCATCTCTGGAACTTTGGGGAGCTGTACTTCTGGGAGCCGCACCTCGGGCACGGCCATCTCTGGCACCTTTGGGAGCTTCATCTCGGACACTTTGGGGAGCTCCACCTCTGGGAGTTGCACATCTGGGAGGGCTGCCTCCGGCACCTTCGGGAGCTTCACCTCAGGAGCCTTAGGGAGCTTCACCTCAGGCCCCTTGGGCACCTTGACCTCGGGGGCCGAGACCCCAATGCCAAAGGAGGGCATCTTGATGGTGGGCAGCTTCAGCTTGCTCTCAACAGCAGCTTCGGCGGCAGCAGGCCGGGGCTCCAGCAAAGAAAGCCCGAAGGTGGGCATTCGAAGTCTAGGCCCCTTTGCCCTGGCCTCGGGGCTGTCCTTGGCCACCTTGGCCTCAGCAACTTCCTTTGCTCGAGCCCCAAAGCGAGGGAAACTGAGGCGGGGCATCTTTAGGGCCACCTCAGGTGCCTCTCCTCGGGCCTCCACCTCCACACCCGGCAAGGCCAGGTCCACCCCTACGGTAGGCGCTGCCACATCCAGGGTGGGCACCGTCACTGCCACAGCCCCTTCCCGGGTTTCCAGGCAGGGGAGCGTGGGCAGGGTGGGTAGCGAGGGCAAGGTGGGCAGCTCCACTTGGGGGACCTGGATCCCTACGGCTGTGGGCTCCACAGCAGGTGCAGCTGGGGCACCTAGTCCAAGGGTTGGCAGGTGGAGGGCCACCTCTCCCAGCCCCTTGGGGGCTGAGACCTGGGGGACACCCACCTCAGCACCTGGCAGCCGGGGCCCAACCAGCTCCACCTGGGGGGCTGTGAAGCGGGCTCCTGCTGCCACCTCAGCCTCCACTTTGGCTTTCCTTGGGGGAGGAGCAGCAGCGGCCAGCCGGGCCACCTGGGCCTCTTCCGCCACTTCCCGGACGCGCAGCCGAGGCAGCTGGAGGCGCCGGCGGGTTGGGGCAGCTGGGACAGGACCCTTGGCAGCCTCTGCTTTGAGGCCCCGACGCAGACGGGAGAACTTGGGAAAGGAGAATTCGACGTCAACAGGGGCCAGGTCTGCAGGGGCCCCCAGGGCCCCGGGCATCACCATCTTCTTCTTCTTCACAGGGGACAGACTCTGGATGTTCTGGGGAGAGAGGAGAGATGCGGGAGGCGGTGGGACAGTGGGAGGCTCGGGGTAGACTGGGGAACCCCATCTGGTATTGCACCAGGCTGGGGATGTGTTGGATGAAGCAACTTGTCCCCCAAATACCGGCCTCCCTTCCTTCCTGTCATTTCACCATTACTGCCCCCGTAAGGCAAAGTCGTTCATTTAAAATCTGACAATGAGTCAACAGGGGTGTAGGAACTGGGATCCAAGACTTCTAGGTCCTCATCCAGGATTTTCCCCCAATACCTTCATTCTAGAGATGGGGAAACTGAGGTCCAGAAAGGGAAAGAAATTTGTCCAGGGTCGCTCAGCAGTAAGTGAGCAGGACCCAGGTTTGAACCTGGCCTCCCTGGTTTGGAGTTGCCTGGTTCACGACCACGGGCAAGCCTAGAGCTGATGCCTCTGCAAAGTGGGTAAAGGACAGGTCTGACATGGGTGGATCCCCTTCCCCAGGGAGAAATTTAGGGGCCGGAACAGAAGGCAGAGGGTGGGATTAGCGTTGGGTTAGTGACAAGACAGAGGCTGGCCCACGGTGTGGAGGAGTGGGGCTCATGGCGCTGAAACTGCATCACTGGGGCCGTCCAGAGCCGAGGCCGGGCTAAGCACGCGTACCAGCTTGGCCACCTTGGCCCGTGGGCCCTTGATCTCGTAGCCGGCCACGGTCCCAGGCCGCAGGGCCAGGTCCCCGGTGGGCACAGTGCGCTTCAGGCAGAAGGAGACCTTGTAAGGCTCGGCACATTGCAGCAGGCGTAGTGCGTCCTCGTATTTGAAGTTCTCGAAGAACACCCGGGCGCTCAGCAGCTGGTCCCCTGCAGGCGAGGTGGGGTGGGCAGGGCGTGGGCATCTCCTGGCTCCATCCAGGTCTGGTGCCACCCACTTCCCTGGAGCTAGCTCTGCGAGGCCCAGCCCAAAACCTTGGCCCCGCATATCCCCCCGTCCCCGCCCCCCGCACCGACTTGAGAAGCAAAGATCCCCCCAGTGTGAGTCCAGACACTCTAGAATGAAGCCCCACCCCGTGGCTTTAGCCCCGCCCCCGCTGAACAGGACCACGCCCATTCAAGCCACGCCCACTGCCTTTCCACCTCCCTTCCCCGTTCTCAAGTTTTAAGACACTGACTTTGTTTCCCCGCACCGAGAGGACAGAATCAGAAAAGAACTTCCGGAAACTCCCACATCCTTACTCACGCCCCTGCTCCTCTGGCAATTTACTCCACTCTCCACCTGTTCCTTTTTTTTTTTTTTTAATTTTTATTTATTTATGATAGTCACACACAGAGAGAGAGGCAGAGACACAGGCAGAAGGAGAAGCAGGCTCCATGCACTGGGAGCCCGACGTGGGATTTGATCCCGGGTCTCCAGGATCGCGCCCTGGGCCAAAGGCAGGCGCCAAACCGCTGCGCCACCCAGGGATCCCTTTTTTTTTTTTTTTAAGATTTTATTTATTCATGAGAGACACACAGAGAGAGGCAGAGACACAGGCAGAGGAAGAAGCAGGCTCCATGCAGGGAGCCCGACATGGGACTCGATCCTGGGTTTCCAGGATCAGGCCCTGGGCTGGAGGCAGGTGCTAAACCGCTGAGCCACCCAGGGATCCCCTCTCCACCTGTTCCTGAGGCTGAACTCTCCCCACTTCTACCTCAGCCAGCCTTTCCACCGCCTTCCCGGGGACATCCTCCAGCAGTTCTCCCCTCGCTCCCCACATCACCAATTTGTCCCTCTCTTCTATGCTATTCCCAGCAGCATACAACACACCATTATTTGTCCCATAGGAAAGGTTGTCTTGACCTCACGCCTGGAGCTCCTGCTCCATTGATCTGTTCACTTAAGGGTAAATGTACTGAGTTGCCTAGCTGCATTACTTCCACTTCTCCAATTACACTTCTGACACCCCCTCCCAGAACCTTGAACTGCTCCTGTCAAGGTTCCATACCTCTGTGTAGCTAAGTCCAATGTTCAAGTCTCAGACTTCACCTGAGTGGACCTCATAGCCTTCAACCTAACGTCACTCCCTCTCCTTTATCCACTTGTCTGGCTTGGCCTCCAGGGTGCCACACACTCTCTAAGGACCTCCCTGGAGGTTTCTTCTCAGCCTCCTTATCTCCTGGATCTCTTAACAACACACTGTCCCAGGGCTCAGGCCCTGGACCTCTTCTCATCTCCATCTACATACTACACTAACCCCCAGAGGAAGCTCATCCAGATTAGGAGGTTTTGTTTTTAGGTTTTATTTATTTATTCACGAGAGATACAGAGAGAGAGACAGAGACACAGGCAGAGGGAGAAACAGGCTCCCTGTGGGAGCCAAAGGCAGATGCTCAACCACTGAGTCACCCAGGTACCCCCAGATTAGGAGTTTAAAGACCATAAAGGGCTGACAACTTCCAAGTGTCAGCCCAGCACTCTCCCCACCATCCTAGACTCATATATCCATTTACCCCTCCACCTCTTCACCTTAGCGACCACTCTTGGTCTCACTCCAAACAAGCTCCAGCCCCAGTGTGGTCCATTTGTGGAACTACCAACTCCATCCTCAGGTCAAGAATCCCTGAACACATCCTGACCCTTCTCTTTTCATCACACCCCATATCCAGTCCTGAGGCCGCCTCCTTCAAAATATATACAGAATTTAAACCTTTCTCTTCATGTCCATTAACAGTGTTTTGGTCCTAATTATTACCATCTCCTGCCTGGATAATCAGAGTAGCCTCTGTGTGTGTGTGTGTGTGTGTGTGTGTGTGTGTGTGTGTGTGTGTTTAAAGTAATCTCAGGGCACCTGAGTGGCCCAGTCGGTTCAGCAACTGCCTTTGACTCAGGTTATGTTCCCGGGTCCTGGGATCGAGTTCCAAGTTGGGCTTCCTGCTCAGCGGGGAGCCTGCTTCTTCTTCTTCCTCTGCCCCTCCCACTGGCCCATTCTCTCTCAAATAAATAAAATCTTTTAGGGATCCCTGGGTGGCGCAGCGGTTTGGCGCCTGCCTTTGACCCAGGGCGCGATCCTGGAGACCCGGGATCGAATCCCATATCGGGCTCCCAGTGCATGGAGCCTGCTTCTCCCTCTGCCTGTGTCTCTGCCTCTCTCTCTCTCTGTGTGTGACTATCATAAATAAATAAAAATTAAAAAAAATAAAATAAAATCTTTTAAAAAGGTAAGATGGTCTCTACACCCAACGTGGGGCTCAAACAACCCTGAGATCAAGAGCCTCACGCTCTACTGACTGAGCCAGCCAGGCCCCCCCAAAGTAGCCTCTTTGTTGGTCTCCCTGCTCCCTACCCTGCCCCCTTCTTTCTACTAGTAATACAGCATGCTGGTCAACACAGACAATTCACAGTCGTCCTCCACTCACAACCCTCCCAGATTAAAAGTCAAAATCCTCACTATGGCCTATGACACCCTCTGAAAACTGCCCTGTCCTGACCTCTCTGGCCTCATCTCTTACTCTCCTTTTTTCTCTAGCTCTACTGCATCTATACTGGCTTCCTTGCTCTTCCTCCATCAAGGGAGGCACACCCCAACTTTGGGACATTTGCACTGGCTGTTCTTTCTGCAGGGAATGCTCTTCCAGATGGCCACATAGCTCAGTCCCTGTCCTCCACCAGGCTTTCCCTCCCTTCCTGGCTCACCCTATTTAAAAATACAACTGTCCTGCTGGCACCCATAGCGCACATTGCCTTCTAACTTACTATGTATTTTACATATTTTCCTGAAATATGTCTCTCCCTACTAGAAGTTAAGCTCCGTAAGTGCAGAGTGTGGTCTGTTTTGTTCACTGCAGTAGCCCAAGCACCTAGAATAACATCTGGAAATAGAAGGCACTTAGTACATATTTGTTGCATGATAAATCACATCGGCCTCATGCCTGTCACCTAAAATATCCCGGACTTACTAAGGCTCCCCTCCACACCTCCTCCAAGTTGTGTTAACTCCACCTCCTTTCTCCCGCCCCAGCAACAAAAATAATAACTGGTGCTTACCATGTGCCACTTAGCTATGCGCTAAGTGTTTTCAAATACTGACTCATTTAACTCACGTAACAACCCTACGAGGTGAGTACTAGAATTATTCCCCTTTGCAAGATGGAAAAAAAACCAAGGCACAGAAGAAGACCACAAGCTAGTCAACTGCAGATCTGAGAGTCAAATCGACACAGCCGGCTCTGAGCCACTGCAAGCCCCACATGAAAAGCTCCCCCCCCCAACCATTCCCCCCGCCTTCCGGAGGCCGGCCACGCCCGGGACCCCGCGCCCGGCCGATCCCGCCCCCTGAGAAATGCAGGGTCCCAGGCTCCCGCCCCGCCCACCTTCCTGCAGGCTGAGGCTCCTGGCCGCGGGCGAGTCCTCCCGAAGCTCGCGGACAAAGATTCCCTCCTTGCCGCCGCCTGCGACGTTGATGCCGCTGACCCCGGTCTGCGCCTCGGTCTCCACGATGATCTCCACCAACTCCGCCCGCCTCAGCTCCTGCGGAGGGCAACGAGGGGTCGCCATGGGGGGCTGGGGCCCGACCTCGCCCACAGCCCGGCATCGCGCTTAAAGGCGGCTCTTAAACGGGTCCTCCAGGTGCACGTCCCTGAGCGCGGCCCGGGCCGACCCCGTGGGCCCACCCACCCCGGCATCTTCCCTTGAAGGAAGCGCGAGGGCCGCCCACTCTCTCGGACCCGCTGCTGGGCTCAACGGTTCGGTCCGCTCTTGGGCGGGCGGGAGGCCAGGGGCCGCTGTCGAAGGGGCGGGGCGAGGGGCGGAGTTGTAGATGGGGCGGGGCGAGGGGCGGGGTTGTAGACGAGGGGCGGGCAGGGAGGCCGGAGGGAACCCGAGTTGTGAGAGGCAGGCCTGATGGGGCGGGGGCTGTGCCCTCGGGGGCGGGGCCTCTCTGGGGGCGGGGCCAGTCCGGGGGCGGTGTCCTCGGGGGCGGGGCCTCCTGGGGGCGGGGCCAGTCCGGGGCGGGGCCAGTCCGGGGGCGGGGCTACGGGTTTGGCGGGGGATTCGACGGCTCCCGTGGATCGAGCTCAGGCCACAGAGGAGGGGCCAAAGATCTGAGAGGGGTGTGGCTAGAGGGTAATACGTAGAGGTAAGGCGGGGACCCATAGTCTACCGGTGAGATTGAAGTCTGGGGAAGAGGTTTAATAACAGCAGAACAAGGGGTGGGGTGAGGACAAGGGGTGGGGTGAGGATGGGATTCCGAGGCTAGACCTTTAAGCGGTACAGGATGGAGGGGTGAGGGTGAGACTGCGCTCTTGGGAGGCTTGAACGTGTGTGAGACTGTGCCCTATTGTGGACTCTGTGACCCCAAGACCTGCATAACGCCTTTGGGAGAGGGAATCCAGTGAAGGGGGGTGCGTGGGTAATGAGTGGTGGACCGGCAGACGTGGCATTCCTGGTATTCACTGTAAATGGTGCTGACCTGGCCCTGGCCCAGCAGCGCCCTCCGGGCTTAGAAAAGGCAGTGAGAGATCTTAGTTCTACAGCCGCCTGGGAGCTCCATCTGCTGTGTGTCTCTGGGGGAAAACTTTGCCCTCTCTGGGCCCGTTTACCTACTGTAAAGTCGGGTAACATGATTGTACTGGAAGGAGTCTCTGAGCTCTGAAAGAACAGGGACCCCAGAGGATGCTGTAATGGGCAGGGCATCAGGGATGGCATAGACTGGAGTTGAGCCCAGGGCTTGGAGAGGGGAAAGCAGGTCTAGGCCGGCTGTGGCCCTGGGACCAGAGGCTGGGAGGAGCATGTTGCAAACAGTTGTGGCAGGCGCAGCAGGGAACACCATGACCACCACCACCACCCTGAGGCCCTGCGCTAAGCATTCTATGTACAACATCTCATTTCATGCCCCCTCCAGCTTGGACAGACACAAAGGTAAAGAGAAGCGGAGCCATCTGCCTAATACCACACAGCAGAGTTAAGCAGCCGGGCCTAAGCCCTGGGTCTGTGACCTGTCCTGCAGGCAGCGACCTCCTTGCACTTTACCCAACCCCCCCATCCTCCCACCTGCCAACCCTCAGCCTCAGCTTGGCTCGCGGAAAAGTAGACCCACTCTGTGCCTAGCATGGGGCAGGAAGCAGTCAATGACAGTCCGCTATTTCCATAACAGTGACCATTGTCCAGACTGTTGTCCCATTTCACCAATGAGAAAACAGTTTGAGAGGTCAGGTCCCCTATTTGAAGCGGTAGGGTTGGGATTTAAGCTTATGGGCTCAAAGCTCGTGCATATAACCCCCTATACATCCTGCTTCTTCCAAAAAAAAGGTTTTCTAATTTCTTTAGCTCATTATTAATATAACTCCATTATGCCCCACTGAATTAGCTGCTTTCATTCTTAGTCTGTACCAGGCACTTTTCCATATGTTAATTTTTTTTTCCTCATGGTGACCTATCAAATAGGCAGCCACTGTTGCTATTTCTGTTTCACAGATGGGGAGACTGAGGCACAGATAAACCAGAAAGTGTTCTTGCTCAGTCTGCACCCCCTAGCCAGGGTCCCCACATTTCCCTTGCAGGACATGTGGGTACTCACCTCAGCACTCCGGCTCCTGGCCTCCATGGCACCTCTGGGAGTCACCTGGGCCCCAGGCTCCTGCTTCCTCTCCCCCTTCTGCTGCAGGACCAGCTTCAGTTCTGCATGGAGCAGCTGCCTCTGAGCCTGCGAGGGACAGGGATGGAGGCTTGAGGCCAGGAGAGGATGAGCGGTGAAGGCGGGCACAGAGGGGGAGAGAGAGGTCAAGATGGGAATTAGAAGGGGAGAAGGGGCTCCCCCCACCCCTGTCCTCTCACCGCTGCCTGGACACAGGCACCCCCTCCTAACAGGAGCCCAGACTGGGGTACCGCACAGTCGTCCGCAGGGTTTGCACCCTTCCTCTGGGGTCTTGCTGCCTGCCAGGAAGAGACCAGGGTGTGAGGCTCCAAGCTGGCCACAGAGGGGCAGGGAGGGGCATGTGGCACCAGCCAATGCTCACCTCAGGGTCACCTCCAGCTCCTTGGGCCTCCTGGGTCCAGGGGTCTAAGAAGAAAAACCATGGGCATTACCATCAGCTAACCCCACCCATTGCTTCCTGAGTGCCTGACCTTCCTGTACTCTGTCAATATTCTAGCCCCATAGTGCAGAGTGCAGCTGGGGAATTGAGCCCTAGAAGACCTTTACTGGACAACAGCGAAGCCAGAGTGGATCCCTAGAACCGCCCGACAGCAGAGCCCCTGAGCCAACCACCTGGGTCTACCAAGAGAGCCAAATGCATTATAAAACAAACATAACTAGGGGCACCTGGATGGCTCTATGGTTGCACATCTGCGTTTGGCTCAGGTTATGATCCTGGGGTCCTGGGATCGAGCCCCGCATCAGGCTCCCCACCACGGGGAGCCTGCTTCTCCCTCTGCCTGTGTCTCTGTGTCTCTCATGAATAAAGAGATAAAAGCTTAAAAAAAAAATCATGGGACGCCTGGGTGGCTCAGCAGTTGAGCGTCTGCCTTCGGCTCAGGGCATGATCCTGGGCTCCTGGATCGAGTCCCACATCAGGCTCCCTGCATGGAGCCTGCTTCTCCCTCTGCCCATGTCTCTGCCTCTGTGTGTGTGTGTGTGTGTCTCTCATGAATAAATAAATAAATCTTTAAAAAAAATCATAACCACTCTCATATACACCCTGGGGGGCGGGGGGTGGAATCACCTCAAGTTTCTGGGCCTCAGCTTCCTCGCCTGTAAAATGGGGAGAAGGAGAGCACCTACCTCATCAAATAAGCCAGTAAATATAAAATGCCAGGCACTCAGAGGGGCTTCAGAAGCACTGTTACTATTACTGAGAACTTCCTGTGGTCCTGATCTGGTGTCAAGGTTCCACAGGGGTCATCCACTGCACTTAAGCCTCCGAACACTTGTGAGGCCAACACGATTATGGAGACCATTCTAGAGAAGAGCCGTGAGGCTGCAAGAAGGGAAGCCACGGATCGTCACAAACGGCTAAGCCAGGATTTGAACTTATCTGAGAGTTCCGGCCTCTTACACGGGGGGATGATAACTAGTGGGTACTGAGTGGTTATTCTTTGTCAGTCCTATGCTCTGGCTCCTCCCTGCAGGAAACCCTCGCCCCTCAGAGAGGCCAAGAACCTCGTGTAAGGTCGGTCACACAGCACAGTGAGAAGGAGGCAGAACCGGGATTCCCATGCAGCCTCCCCATCAGGCCTGAAAGGGGAATGGATACCGTCTCTCCACCACCCCCCACCCAGGCCAACTCTGGCCTCGTCCTCCCAGCCCCCACCTGGCATGCCAACCCGCCAACCCCCACTCTACACGGAAAGGTCAGGCCTCACGCGGCACATTCCCTCAAACAATGGCCTGTCTGCTGCAGCCGGTCACATTCCGCCCCTGCCCACCCACCCCCAGCCGCACAATGGCCCTTCATAACCCACCACTGGCCAGGACAGAGGACACAGGGACCCCTCAGTGGTCCAGCTGTACCCATTCCACTGGTAAGGACTGCACAGTATCAGAGGGCTCCTCTCTGGCCCTCCTAGGAGTCCTGGTCTCCACGGCCTTCCTCGGCCTCCCCTCTGAGCCCTCAGCTGCTCCGGGTCAGGTGGGCTCCCCCATCTGTAGCATTTCCTCCAGAATGCTCGCCCCCGTAGGTCTCTGAATCACCCTCAATGTGGTGGCTGTTCTAGGGTTGGAAACTGAGGCTCAGAGAGGGGAAGAGACCTGTCTGGGGTCACACAGCCAATACCCTGCCCTTGACCCCAACCCTGTATGTGAACTTGCATTGGTGGCTCCGAGCACTGGACTCCTCCAGGAGCTCCTCAAGGAGCAAGACAACCAGAGCAGGGGCTGGGCTGGGAAGGGAGGTGGGGACTGAGGGTGCCCAGAACAGGCATTTTCAGAGGCACCTCATTGGTGCCTAACCTGGGCTGGGCAGACACCTCGTGGATGTGGCCTCAGTACCCCATCTTACGGATGAGTACATGAGGGTTAAGATATCACAGTGACAGAGTTGGGTCTTGAACTCAGGTCTGAAAAACTGAGTCCCTGATGCCACATAGCATCCTGAGCTGGAGGTGGGAGAGCCTGGTACTTGTGGGAGGCAGTGGAGATGGACAGGAGGCTCTCCTGGACAGCAAGCTCCCTGTCTCAGGCCAGGGCGGTGAAGGTCACACCCAGAGGCTGGCACAGGAAGCTTAGCCAGGGCAGGAGCAAGAGAGAGTGCCCTCCTCCCTCATCCTTGCCCAGGGCAGCCGCCCAGCCCAGGTTATATTTAGCCCAACTGTGCCCTTCCTGAGCCACAAACTCAGCTCCTGGGGTGGGGTGGGGGTGGCTTCGGAAGGAAGCCCCCCCTCCCAACCCTGGGCACTCTCTGTTCCCAGCTCTGCCCATCCCACTAGACGGAGGGGGGCATGGGGAAGTTGCTGGGGATCCCTGACTGTGTTAGGGGAGGATCTAAAGGGGTTCCCCTGGTGAATTAAAGCCAGGCAGGACCCTCCAGATGCCAACAACCATTCTTGGGTAGTTCCTATGACACTGCCCTGGTATGCTACTCAGCTTCCAGAATTCTCAGAGTCCCCATTTCTTGAGTATTTGCTATGCACAAAGATTCTTGCCTACCTTGACTCATTACATCCTCACAATCCCTCGCTGAGGAAGGCACCACTGAGATTCCCATTTGAGATGCCCAGATGCCCTTCAGAGCCTGCTGAGGGGAGGGTCTGTCCTTTGGGCCCTGGGCCGGTCAGCTGAGCTGGGCTGGCTGAGGAACCCCCCAGTTTTGTCCCATTGCACCCTCTTTTCCCCTTGGCTGGTGCCAACCCTACTTAGGAGCTCTCCCCATTCAGAGCCTCAGCTTTCCCAACCGCCAGTGATCTGGTGCCCTCAGCAGTGGGAGTGAGGGGTTGTTTCGTCTGGGCCCCTAGACCATCTGTGAGCAGAAGGTGAGGCGTTCTGGAGGTGGTCTCCCAGCAGCCTCGGCCATGGTCAGTCCCTGCTCTAGCACTTCTCAGGTTTGAATACCTGGGTGAGGTGTTTCACCCCTCAGGGACTCGGTTTTCTCTGTGAAGTGAAGCCAGTTAAGAGTGGCTTCAAGGAGTCACAAAATAACAGCAGGTGCCTAGAATAGTCCCACTATATAGTAAGTGCTCAAGTAACGTACGCCCGTCTCTGACAGCAATTGGAGGCTTGACTGTGCATCTCAAAGTGGCTTGTGTCCAGCTTTTGCTCAGTGGTGGCCCCACTTTCTCTCTTACCCAAGGGGAACTCTGGGTGAGGGACAAATCCAGCTCAGGCACTGGCCTCCTACCAAGATCAGTGCTCCCCACCCCAGCACCCTACTCCAAGCCCCAAAAGCCTGCCCCACCCTAGGAATCCTTCCCTAGCTCTTTGTAAGCAGCAACTCATCTATTCTCTATCAGCCCTGTGAGGTGGCCTCCGTCAGCCCATTTCACAGATGGGAAAGCAGAGGTACGAAGGGTGCAGTATCTTGCCCAAGACCACATAGCCTGAGAGAGGGAAATATTGGGATTTGAACCTAGGGTCTATGCCTTTGACTCCTATACCACACTGCCTTCTGAGCCCCAGGTATCTTCCCAGCACCTCCCAGCACCTCCCAGGACCCTGAGTCTCATTCCCTCCAGCTTCTCAGCCTGGCCAAGGATCCCCGTAAGACCCGTTTATCTCTTACCACTAGGCCTCCAGACACCTCGAGAGCTCCCGGTCGTCTGCTCAGCCCTAGCCCCAGGCAGGGGGGGAAAAGGAATGGGGAGGGGGAGGAGGGGGAGACCCCAGCCATTGGCTACCGAGGTGTGACATCACCAGGGAGTGGGTGGTGGGGAAACAAACACCCCCCTTCTCCCAGCTACATCCACCGGCAAGGGGGTGGGGAGCTGAAGACCATAAGAAGGGACAGCTGCAGCCTGGGCCTGGGCTGGGACCTCCACCGGGAGCCTCCTTCCAGGGACACGCGTTGCTACCGCCACTTGGAGGCCGAGCGCCCGACTAGCATTATTTCCTGGCTTCCAGACCCAGGCAGGGCCCCTGCTGGTTCCTGGGGCCCCTAAAATAAACTCCTCCGCTCCCTCTTTTAGTCAATTTGGGTTCAAATCCCAGCCTTGTCACCTTCTGGCCTTGTGACAGTGTCTTTCTGGGCCTCATTTTCTTCATCTCTAAAACAAGGATAATAAAAATGCCCACCGCATGGGGTCATTGTAAAGATTAGATGAGTTAAAAGAGGCTAAAGCTTTCAGCACTGCCTGGCAAAAAATGGGTGTCACTTATGAGTTTTGCATTATTATTCACACAAATCAGGGATGGCTAGACTTGTTGTGGGGGATGGGCAGCTTTTGGCCTGAGTGAGACTGGGCACAGAGAAGCCCCACTTCTCTAATGGAGTTTCCATGTTGGGGGGGACACCTAAAGTGCTGCTTTGTGTGGGCATCCAAAGCCCTGCTCCTGGGATCAAGGGTGCAAGGTGAGCATATTATGCCCAGTATTTAGCTACACAGCCAGGAACTGGTGGGGCTGGGGTCTAACCCCATTTCTGCTGGGCCCCAGAGACCCTGCAACTCTCTTCCATCCTCTGCATATAACAGACAAGGAGGTTCAGAGAGGGTGACACCCGAGGTCGCCCACGGCAAGTCAGTGGTCGCAACAGGATTTGAACCCAGACCTGCCCAACTCCCAACCCAAGGTTACCAGGTCTCACCCTGATCCCTTGCCCCCCCAGCCCCACCAACCCCAGCTTGCCCTGACTCACCAGACCCCGGGGGGCGGCACAGGGAACACAAGTACCCCCACATGCCCCTCGCACCCACCCGGCCGCTGGCTCCGATGCTCCCAGCTCTCTGAGCCCAGGCCTGGGGCCAGGGCTGGGATGAAACTGGGGATTACCCCCACAGCGTGCGTCAGCAGCTTCTGTCCCATTGTCCAGCCAGGCACGGCCACCGGGCCTTCGCCTCAGTTGTCAATCTCACCCCTCACACCAGCCCCCTGGCCCCTCTATGGACCTGTACCCCACCCTACACCGAGAGCTGGGAGCTACTCTTGAGGACATCAGGGACCAGGCGCAGGTTGGCAGGATCCCAGAATGCTAGGGACCTCCCCCCTTCTCTCCAAAATGCCCCCTGCCCACTCTCAGCCACCATGGAAGGCAGGAATGTGCTGAGCTCTGGGAAATACCTTCCAGGCCTGGCAGCCACCAAGGGTTGGGGTGTGGCCAGGACCCCGCCAGAACCCTTCTCCTGGGAAGGGTAGAAGGAACAGCATGATGAGGGCTGCTGACGGGCCTGAGACCCTCACCCCAGTGCATTTTCTCTCTCTCTCTCTCTCTCTCATTGATTCATTCAACCATTCATCTGTTCATTTATTCATTCAATAAACACTCATGAGCCCTTGGTGGCAACCCCTTTGCTGGGCATTGGCAACACTGCCAGACCTAAATTTACCTTGGAGGGTATAGGCTCAGGGAAGGATTTCTGGAAGACATGACATTGAAGTTAGACTGGTTGGTTGAGAAGGAGGGAACCAGGTAAAAGTGCAGAAGAGGCTTCCAGGGACAGGGACAAATGCAGGCAAAGTACCAGAAGGGAGAAAGGGAGCAGGCTTTAACCAAGGTCAGCAGTCCGTGAGCACCTGGTTTTGTGTCCAACCCTGTGCTGGACGGTACCGAGGACACAGTGTGACTTAGATAGCCCGGGCCTGCTTTCACAGAGTTCACAGTCCAACAGGGAGATAGATCCAGAACGGCCAGGATTGTGATGAGAGAGTCACAGGCAGAAAGGTCAGGGCCTTGATGGGGGAGCCCAGGAAAGGTGCCTGCTCCAGCCTTAGCAAGGGAGGTCAGAGAAGTCTTCCTGGAGGAGGAGACATGTGAACTGAGACTAGAAGACCCACAGGAACTAGGCAAGAGAAGAGGGAGACCAGTTTTATGAGCAGAGGGACCAGCCTGTGCAGGGAACCTGAATTCAGACAGTGCTCAGCACATGTGAAATTTCTAGAAGTTGAGAACCTTGTCCTTTAAAAAAAAAAAAAAAAATAATATATATATATATATATATATATATATATATATATAATTTATTTATTCATGAGAGACACACACACACACAGAGGCAGAGACACAGGCAGAGGGAGAAGCAGGCTCCATGCAGGGAGCCCGATGTGGGACTCGATCCCGGATCCCAGGACCACGACCGGAGCTGAAGGCAGCTGCCCAACCACTGAGCCACCCAGGCATCCCGAGAACTGTGTCCTTGTTCATGGCTGTTTCCCCATGGCCCAAACATCCCCTTTCCTTATATCTGCTCCTCATTTATACATTCATTCAACAGTATTCACAGACACTTCTGTATCCATCCCTGGGCTGGGTAGTGCTGAGGACACAGCAGTCACCATGATTCGGGCCTCATGAGACTCACAGTTGGGGGCTGGGGTATGGGGGCAGACATTCAAGAAGTGATCGGTGACATGAGTGTACAATTCACACTGAGCTAAGTAGTACGAGGGACAGATCTAGGTCTGTGAGCGGGGCCTGGCTCTCTAGTACTATCACAAAGGGCAGGGGGGGCTTCCTGGAGGAAGTGACATTTGAGCTGGCACCTGAAAGATACATAGGCCTTCGTGCAGGGCTGCTCAGCCGGTAGTGGATCAGTGAGAGTGGGTTTCAGGTAGAGGGCGTTTCTCAAAGGGGCCCCTTGAGAACTCAGTGAATGTGAAAGAGTGTGGGGAAGCAGAGGGGAGGCCCGTGGTCAGCCAGAGGAGGGCCCGAGACTTGTCCCAAGGGCCTTGCAGGCTTTGTGCGTGCTATTCTGTCTCTGTCTGCGTCTGGAGCGCAGATACCCTGAGACTGGGAGCAAGCATTCGGCCTTTGGCCTTGTCAGCTCGAAGTGTTTTGTGGTTGCCCTTCAGCCGGTGAAGGAAGCTTCTTTTCCTAGTTGGCTGTGTTTTGTCACGAAGGGTGTGTCTCTCCCTGTGTCTCTCTACCTCTCTGTTCCTCTCTTTGTCTCTGTCCTCATTCCTTGTCTCTGTCTCTCCCCACATGTCTCTCTGTCTCTCTCTTTCTCTGTCTCTCTCTGTGTCTCTTGCTTTCTCTCACTTGAGGGGGTGTGGCCATGGGAAGTTGAGTTCAGGGGGTGGCACCAGTGTCCCGGTTCCGGCCAAGGTCACCTCAGTAAACACAGGACATCCTGTGGGGCTGGGGAAGGAGGTGGAAGCTTGTCCTCAGGGACCACCCTCTCCAACCCACCCTGAGCCAAGTGGCAGCCGGGTCCCCAGCAGTGCAGCCAGTATGTCCCTCGCTCCCATCCTCTCTGCTGGCTCCTGCCTCCCACCTCCCCACTAAGCTCCAGCCACGGGCCCAGCAGGCCCAGCAATCCGTATGCCTTCTCCTGGGTGTGCCCCCCCACCCCCATACCCACTGTGTCCCTATCTGGCCTCAGCGTCAGCCCCAGAGCTGCTTGTCCTCCCAGCCACCATCCCAGGGCAATCCCACTGTCCCCCTGAGTCACCCAGTCAGAGCCCTGGGCCTCGCCCTAGGCCCCTGCCCCATCAAGGCTCATCCACCCCAGAGCCCGTCCTCTTGCTTGCTAAGCGCCTCTCCCTTTCTTCCCCACCACCCTGCCATGGGTGCGACGCCCCTCCCCAGCTTCCTCCTCAGGGCTCCCAGCCTTTAGGGTCACCTCTGCACCACCACATCCACGAGGCAGTCCAGGGGATTCCTTCACCTGGTGACTAGCACCCTAGCAGTAAAGTCTCCCTCCCAGGGCCCCTTGTGTGCTGGTGCCCGCAGACCCCATCACTCACCTTACTGCTCCTGCCTCTGTCTAGCCAAACCCGGAGCTTCCAGATCCCTGAAAACATTGTAGGGTCCCTCACAGTCCTAGCCCTCACCTGTGCTGTTCCTTCCGCCTAGAACACTCCCCTTCCCTGGGACAACAGCCCTGCGAGGTGGGCACTGTTACTGTTCCAGTTTACAGATGAGCCCCCTGAGGCCCAGAGAAGTGAAGTACCCTGCCCTGGGTCGCACAGCCACAGAATGGCAAAGGCGAGGCTCAAATGCAGGCGGCCTGGCTTTCAAGCACAGCCTCTGCTCAGTGGCTTATTGTGTCGATAATAACGACTAAGCATCGTTAGATTCTACACGGGACAGCACTGGGATCGTAGGTGCTCAGTAAAATGTTCATTAAATGTTCGAACGGGGCGGGGGTAGAAGGTGAGCCTCAGAAGGGACAGAGCTCAGATCTCGGAGGACTGAGATAAATCCTGAGGCCCCGGAGCAGAGGAGAGAACGATCGGGTTTGCCTTTCACAGAGGGCCAGGCACACAGTAGTTACTCATAACTCTTTGCTGAATGAGAGAAGGAATGAAGGTGGGAGGGAGGAAGGGAGGGAGGAGGACAAGGATAGCCCTCCCAGGTGTCCAAGGAGGGAAATGTGTGTCATGGGGGGGGGGGGTCCCTGTGGATGCCCCTGGAGGGGAGCTAGGCTGGGGAGTTTCCAGAAGGGAACACACAGAGGCTCTGTGAAAAGCCGCAGCCGCGCCAGGGCTGGCGGCTCCGCTAGGAATGGTGTGGGCCCTGGAATCTGCTGGCTGAGGTAGTGTGGCCTCTTGGGGTTGAGCCGAGGGCGGAGGGGCGCGCTAGAACCAGAGAGCCTGCACAATCATCTGGGGTTCAGACATGGGGAGCCTGGGGTAGGTCCTCAGGCATGAGCTGCT